GTTCTGAAGGCAAAAGGGGGTCCAACCCGTTACTAGCGTGGTGTACCTAATAAAGTGGCCGGTGAGTATATATATAACTTTTTTGTTTCCTGGTCCTTGTGGGTCAAAGAAAACTCCTCATTTACTAAAACCAGGTGTTGTTACTAAAATAAAAAACAGTCCCACCTTTATTCCCACCTGATGTGGACTTCTTCACAGACGACTTCTTCGCTGCTTTCTTCCCTTCAACAACAACAAAACAAGTTTAAACTTTCTGACTGTTTGAAGGTKAACGGCTGGTTTCTGCATCGTGTTAATTTACTGTAAAATGGAAAACCTCTGACCAATCAGCAGGCAGCTTATTAGAAACTGGTTCAAAGACCACCTGAGGGGTCTGGAGTTGAGTTACCTGGTAGTAAGGCTGCAGGGACGTCTGTAGAAGTGGTGGAGCTGGTCAGCTCCAGAGGAGCCTCAACGTTCTCTGCTGACAAGAAGAAGACGTCAGTTTGATGGAAATCTATCCAACATTTGTCCTTCTGCTTTGGGTCCAAGAGGGACCAGGTCCAGGAACCCAGGACCCCCCCCCCCCCCCCACCCCACAGCTCCTCCTGAGGGATCCAAGATGCTCACAGATCAGACGATGAGTTCTGCCCTGAGGTGACCTCAGCTGACTGGCCTCGATGAAGAGGAGCAGCTCTTCTTCAAACCCTAAACCTTCATTAGACTTTTCTAAGACCTGGGAGCATTTAGGGAACAAGATCCAACAGAACGGACTAAAAACTGAAAAGTTCTGATGAAAAATGTGGATCTGAAAACAGAGATGCTACAATGAAACAGTTAAATCCTTTTAAATCTGCTGCTGGAACAAACTGAGACAGGTAAAAAACAAAGTGTGAACAGGAAGTGAAGTGTGAACAGGAAGTGAAGTGTGAACAGGAAGTGGAGACACTCACTGGAGAGGCTGAAGGACGAGGTCCAGCGAGGGAGAGCCTGTGAGTGGACGCCGTTAGCGTACGAGCTAACGTAGTTGTGTCGGCCCGCCCGTCTCTGAACTCTTACAGGACCCCCCGACGAAGTCAAGACGCCCCTGTGGAACCAGAACCCTCTGAGCTGAAATTTAYACTAAATCTGAAGACGTGAAGCAAAAGTTCCAAACTCCAGATTAACGGTTCTTCACCAAACGTCTGCAGCTCCTTCAGCTCGGTGCTGCTCCAGTCCACAAACCTTTCATCAAGGAGTCTCAGCCGGACCGAGGTCTGGACCGGTCAATCCCAGAACCTTCAGCTGGGTGTTTTGGGTCGACTGGTTGTTTTGTCTAACTTTACTTTCAGCAGTTTCTGCTGATGGAAACATCCCCACATCATGATGCTGCCACCACCGTGCTTCACTGAMGGAGTGGCAGCATCTTCTYACGTTTAGAGTTTTTAAACAAACGTYAACTAACCTGCTTTAAATACTTTAAAACTCAAACAGTGAAGAAAAAACAAACAAGTCAAAGAAGATTTAAAAAAAGCTGAAACAAAAGCAGTTAAAGGACAGCAGCAGAGTCTCGTCTCAGTTTTCCCTCCTGAGGGGCCCTGGAGGTCAACAGAGACTTAATCCTGAATTCYGGCACATTCCTTAATGATGTTGATGTTTGGTGGAGTTCAGCAGAGAGCGAGACTCCAGTCCTGACCCGTGACTCGTGTTTATCAGAAATAATAAAGTCTTACCTGTGAACAGCAGCTCCACAGACGGAYGAGACGGCAGCGTAGACCCCAGTCCCAAACACCGACAGCCTTAAATCTGTGCAGCCTGGAGGACACAAGACCAGGACTTCATCCTGCTTCAGGTCCACTCCACGGGTCTCACAGCTCACTGGATCTGCACCTGCAACCCAAACCAGCTGTCAAAACCCCAGAGGTGGACATGAATGTTAGCTTCTGACGTGACTCGATAACAACTAAACATGAGCCTGACTGGTTCTAATCTGAAAGTGAGACAAAAAACCTGCAAAAATTCAAAATAAGAAGCGAGAAAAACAAGCAGTTTCAAACCTCTCAAATATTACTTTATGATAATCAAACCCAAGAAAACTAAAACAAGACTCCATCCAGAGCAGAGCGCCGACATTAAAAATGAAGCTGAGCCAAAATAAACCCAACAAAACCAGACCCAGAAACCCAACACCACCACACCGGGACACACTGACAAGATTAATGACACGGCTGAAATAAAGTGGGACGACGGTTACGCAATACTTCAGGACAGTCAGGGATGAGCTAAAAAACTGRATGTTCCTTTTGAAAGACAAAAAAAAGCTTTCAGGAAGTCAGTTTATAGTTAATAAACCAGATGGATTTAATCACCCTCTTTTTCAGAGGGGCAACGCTGTCATGTTGAACGCACTCAACTAAAAAAAATAACATTTTAAAAAGGATTTTCTGAATTTCCTTACATTYTCTGATGAACTTCTTATGTAATGACGTTTTAATTTTCTTTCAGATGYTGTAAAGTTTGTAAAGCAGAATTGTTTGTGAGCTAAAGAGGTTTTTATAAAGGAAAATATTTTAAACAGTTTGATMAGTCAGATTTCTGCAGAGCTGGACAAAAATAAAACCTTAACTTTACTGAGAATCAGCCGACAAAGACTCACCGCTGGATCCTGAGCTGAAGGATGGTGTAAAAAAGAAAAGGCCTGAAAATTTTTAAAATGCAGTTAATTTATTATTAATATATTCAAAATATAGAAAAAAGCAGCACTGGTTTGTACCTGTGAATGGCAGCAGGACAGATATCTGAGACATTTCAGCAGCTGAAACAGATACGATAAAAAGAAAAGAAAATAATTATTCATGAATTCAGTTTTTTATATTAATCTAAAGTCAACAAACAGTTTAAACCAGCAGTTTAACCCTTAAACAGATCCACCAGACCCAGGACCACAAAGTAAACCAGAGGGTTTTGATCAGGTTAATTAGATGTGACAGCCATCTTAATCCAATAATTACTGTTTGTTTTGTTAAAATCCWTCCAGTTCATGTTCCAGAAATGAGTCGAGACTCAGTTATAACTAAACTAATGATTCAGAGATTATTTATAAACCATCAAAACAGCTTTTTCCATTTTCTAATTCTTTTAACTTCACATCTSTCAGTTGAAMCTGGACACGGTTGGTATCTACACAAACCTAAGAGCCTAAAAGCTCATGGAAACTATTTCTACATTCACAAAATGCAGCTCAAACGTCAAGCAGTTGAATCAGAAAGTAAACAAACTAAATGTGATCATTGCAAATCTGTAAAGGAAAAATATTTGACATTATTTTTTAAATCAAGACAAAGTAGATACCAAAATATGTTGTAAAGTGTGAAAGTTTTTTAAAATAATTTTCACTTGATTCTGAGTGAATC